TAGTCGAATCGGTGGCAAATGGTGTGTGTTAATGTGGAGATTTCGGCTGGGAATTTATCGGCTGTTGTACGTGGTCGCTAATTTTTGTCCAACGACAAGACCAAGCCTCTCTTCCGGTGTACGAAAGCGTAAATTAAAATCGCACGAAGCCTGGGAAAGTTTTAATAACTTTCCGGGAAGGAAAAAAGAAAGAGACACGCGAGGTTTCGTTTTCCTATAAAGTCGGTCCGTGCGAAATGAGACTGCAGACAACACTTAAACTGCAGCGCGTTAACCCAAATTCCAAATAGCAATAACGGAAATGCGCAGGGTAGTACCGTCGCCATTAAAAAGATCCGCCGTGAGACAAAACAAATTACCGCTTGCGCTCGCGCGTGTGCAAGAATCGTAATTAAAATACACATCGCGGATTCCGGAAGCAATAAATGAAAGCGGACGACGTTCCGTTGCGTGTCAGCTGACTTTTCCTATACCGTAACGCCGCGAAAAGATCCGCGCTTAAGCTCGGTCAGGTCGTTTCCTTCGCGCACCCGGCACCCGGAATTTTCCTCGAAGGATCGCTAATTATCGACGGTGGAAACCCGCGTCGAGCATCCATCCCTCCTTCGTATCCCTCGCTCCATTCGCTCGTTTTCTTCAACAACGCGACAGCAGGGGCGACCCGTTTTTATACTGACGGTGTGTCCGTTAAAATACCGCCGTTAAAAAACCGCCGCGGCTCATTAACTGGCGCCGGTCCGCTCCGTCGGTTTCCGCGGAACACATTTTTCCTAGCCGCGCGCGAACAGCGCAATAACCATAATCAACGGTCTGCTCTCTTTCTTTGTGTGTGTCTCTCTCTGCCCCCCTCTCTCTCTCTCTCTCTCTCTCTCTCTTTCTCTTACGAGCAACCGCGCGATAAACTGCTGCGACCGCCGGCGCGACGCGGCGTGGCGCGCAGTTTTCTCATCGCTTTTCTTCTCGTTTTCCCGCGACACGCGACCAGCCCGGCAGGAAAATCTCCACGTATACGATAAGCCGCCGCAAAAGTTTCTTCCGGCGCGCTCCCGCTCGACTTTATCGTTCATATCGCGCAGCAGTCTTGAGAAATTGCGGTAAGTGTAGAAAGGAAATGCGGTCGGCACTTTATCTGCCATCTAAACGCGTCGAACATGTAATTTCGAAAATTGAAAGCGTCCTTCTTTTAAATATTTCATGAAAAAAAATCTTGTGCATGTCGACGATGTGACACTGTGCATAATAAATGAGTGTTGAATGACAGAAGCTCGTTAAGGAGTGATATTCTAGCAAAAAACGGCGTATTACTTAATTATCCTTCAATAAGAATCCCAGGGGGTTTAATTTTAACGACAGCTTCGTCGACCATTTGTCACTGTCGCTAACTTTCAATGTTCGACGTTAAAATATTTAAATCATTAAAATGCCTCTCAACCTCTTGATATGTGATAAACTGACATTGTCTATATTTACGCAAAGATTATAGAAACACTTCATCATTAGCTTCCGCTTCAATAAGTTTGACGAATTCTTAGAAACGTGACGATTTTTCGACTGCATTACTATTTTCCCGGACAGATCTAACAATGACGAAGGACCGGAGTTTCCGCAGATACGCGCATCCATCGCGTCGACTATAGTCTTAGAGATGTAGCTGAGGAATATTTCCCAGGGGGTTCACGCGACAAGTCGACCAACTGACATGACGAAGATCCATACAATTACGCAGACGTAACGTCAACTGCGCTGTATAATTTATACAGCGCGTCGGTCAGACCGTGACAATGAGACGGCGTGATAAAGAAAGAAAAAAGAAGAAAAGGAAGAGAGAGAGAGAGAGAGAGAGAGAGAGAGGAAAAAAGAGAAAAGATAGCGATCCATCGTCGTTCAAGAAAGACTCGTGATCGAGAGCACCTCACCGCAATTTACGATGGAAACGGAGAAAGAACCGCTAAGTCCTTTAACCGTCGTGGTATCTTTTCTCACTTTTTCTTTCGGCCCGACATCTTTTATGTTCCTTTGTTACGGAACGTGTGAGGTGATCGACACCTCGTCTTTCTTCGTTCATGTGAAGATCTATCTACTACCCATTGCACGCGTCGCAGCACCGTGACTCCAACGCGTATGTGTTCTCGACTATTGCATTAATTTAAATTTTTCCGACGTAAAACGATGCGCACAGTTTTAAAACCGATTATATGATAACGATTTTGTTCCAACAAATTCTTCTCATGGAATATTTATTTAAGGCGGCAAAAATATAGTTTCTAGAATTATTTCAAAGTTTTAACATTTATCAATGAATATTTGTAGAAAATAAGTGATTCGTATTACGATTTCATATTATTTCAATAAAAATTTTCCAATGTACGCGTAATTTTAAAATAAATTACGTTTAATTGTCCGAATAAAATTTTGTGAGAAAAATTATCCAAAGAGAAGAGAATATTTTCCGAAATTTCTGTTCGTAATCACTTTAACATTCGTAAAAATAAATTTGGAGAAAATGAGGGAAATCGCGCCATATACCGTGTCGGAACGACCCGTACATCGTCAGCCATTATTGTTGCACAATTCACTAGAATATTGCGCGGACCGATTAAATTTCTCACCTAGTAGAAGGGGAAATAACACATCTAGAGAAAAGAGTGCGAGGGCCGTGCGGGTACGGCGCGAAGTTGGAAAGTGGAACGTTCTAGTGAACGGTACTTTTCTATCACTTCTCTCATCATATCTCTCTTCCTTCACACGCACGTTTATAAATTACGGTCGGAGAGCGGAATGACGGCGTTTGTAAGGCGGAGGGTCCGAGAGGAAAGAGAGAGAGAGAGAGAGAGAGAGAGAGAGAGAGAGAGAGAGAGAGAGAGAAAGAGAGAGAGAGAAAGAGAGGGAGAAAGAAAAGAAAAAGGTGCGACGACGGTGTTTCGAGGCAACTCGACAGAACCGGACCGAGGTACGAAGGAATGAGAGAAGATTCCAAAGAAAAGAAAGAAAGAGAGGGAGGGGGAGGGAGAGACGCATAGCTCGACGACGGCCTCGTGGAGAGCCGGATCATAAATGGACGATCGAAACGAAAGGGAGAACGCTCGAGGAGAAAAGGGAGAGACTCGGATGGAGGTGGGCAGGCTGCCCCCTTGTAAATTGCGCGAGATCCGCGCAGGTATCCACGAAGACGGGCTGAGGTCGAGCCAACAATTTCGAGAAAAGTATTCGAGGGGCATAACAGAACGGCCCTGATATTCGAGTAACTTTTCCACGACTCCCTTCTTTTCCATCAATTCGCAAAGGTCGATTGGATTCAAGCTGACTCTCATTTATTAGCGAGACTTAGCTTTTAACAAATGAGCAGAATTAACATTTGCACAGTTGTAACAGCGTTAGGTTCTTCTCGATTAGATTTTGGTTGAAATAGCGCACGCCGTCTTCAAGGTTGTTCCCATTTGCTAATGTGAATGTAACACGACGAAGTTAACTGAAGCGCGATCGCGATGTTACTTCGTGAAAAAAAAAAAATCGTGAACAAATCACAATTGATATTATTACAAAGATTATCATGATTTTCTTATTCTAAATGTAAAAGGAATCGCGAAATTATTGTCGAGGTAACTAGACATTAGTTTGAAACCTTTGTATCGCGTTAAGAATGTCATTTCGAAAGAAAAAATCTCTGGAGAAAAATTGCGTGCAAAGGAAAAAAGCAGTACTAAAAATGAAATGTCTACTGCTAAGAATCAAAATCAACATAAATTTTCCTCTACTCTGGTATATTATTCAAATTACTTCAAAATAACGGTAAAACGGAAAATATAGACCCTTTTGTTTTATTGATGAAAGAAAGAACAATTTTCAATACATTTGATTAAACGCGAAAATCTATTCCAAATTCGATCTGAAATTGATAGCATGATGTAACAATGAAGACCGTGTAATATATTCAAACCGCTAGAATTTCCTCAATTACTGATCATATTTCTAGCATCTAGTTTCTCAATGTGATTCATGCTCATTACGAATTTGTTAAGCCGTCGATGATTCAATGCTGATGAATTCGCGCATGCCACCGCGTATTCGAGTCCGTTCAGACGAACGTTATACGCGGCTCGTCACCGAGGAAGATCGTCAGGTGCGACAAGCTGGATACGCAGGAAACCGCATCGGTCGAATGATCGCACGAGCAACAGGACGTGTATTGCCCTCGCCGGAACAAAAGCGGGGGAGTGCGGGAAACTCTACGTTTCTCTTTTTCTCTCTCTCTCTCTCTCTCTCTCTTCCCCCCACCCTCTTTCTCTCTCTTTCTTTCCCTTCTGCGTTCTCCGAATTATTGCGCAGTATACATACGCAGTAGTTTATATACGCAGTATTGTATTTACAATAAAGTAGTTGTATCTCTATCGATATTTAGTGGAGAAGAAAAAGGAAGATCGCAAGTAACATGGCGACGCAAAAAATCTCGGACCGGAGGCAAGAAAAACGACTGCAGACGGTTAGAGGGACATTCAAACGAACGTACGACGCGACGCTGCAACACAACGACGGATGCGCGCCATTTCGAATTCAAACTCCCGCGACCCTGCGTGACGCCAGACGCCGCCCGTTTCGAACTCGAATTCAAATTTACGTCTAACAGTAATGGCGTCCGTTGCTGTTGCAAATCTCGAATGTCGAATTCCAAGGTGCGACGGTGCGGCGGCGGTTAACCACCTGCTGAGTGTATCGCGTGGCTGTTCATGCACTTCTCTTTCTACTTTTCTCTCTCTCTCTCTCTCTCTCTCTCTCTCTCTCTCTCTCTCTCTCTCTTTGTCTTCTCCACCTTCTCTCTCTCTCTCCATCTCTCTTTCTCTTTTTCTACCTCCCTCCCTCTCTATCACTTTCTACGCCGAAGTGCGGCGAACGGTATCACGCGAGCGGTCCCGTGGGAAACCACGCGCGAGATTCCTTCGAGGGAAGCGAATTCCCGTGGTGCACCGGCGCATTATCACTCGTTGAATATTTTCATTACATACCTGTTAGTTGCAGCAGCAGCAGGAGAACGGCGATCGGGACGATAAGACGCTCGCAGGCTGCCATCGTGACGGTGACCACCTGTCTCTTTCCACTCTTCTCGTCGACGATGACAGTCTCTCTTTCTCTCTTTCTGCCGTTCGTCACACACCGGTCTCCGTTTCTCTCTCAATCTTCGGTCGACACACGTGACGTATCTCCGGTCACTGACACCACTCGCGACCGCGTTAACGTCCCACGTACGATCGACGATGAATCGAATGCATTAAATGATACTACGCGATCAAACAACTCTTACTACCGACAGACTACTAACACGTCACAACGTCGCGCTGGCCGATCTCGAACTGTGGCGGGGAGCACGGCGTACGTGTTCGGCACGGCCTTCGGCTGCGCTCGGCTAGTTCCGCCGACCACGTGATTCGTCGGCACGCAGGTACGACTACGTGACGACGAGTGGGAAGCCGGCCGATTCGCGCGCACGACCTTCCCTCAGATCTTTTCTCCTTCTTCTATTGTACTTATTTTCGGCGATCTACAATAGCGGAACTTGCAGAAGTAAATTGGTTTGATGTTTCAATTAATCTCTCGGGCTGAAGTGTCTCCGATCGCGTTAAGATCACGCTTCGTTCGAGCGGAGTGTCCTTACTCCTCGCATTCGTCTCGAACTTTCGATGAGGCGTAATCGCGAAATCATCGCGAATTCACATATTACACTGTATTGTCGCGGGATATCATGTCGTGTCTCTTATATGTAACAATATCGTATGACGCGAATATACTCCTCATTGAGTATAAGTGTCTAAAATATTGGGGTTCGACATTGTGATTGAGTGTGATTGATCACACTCCGATTCGCCCTTTGTTAGGTTATATACGTGAATGAGGTTAGGTCCCTTCTATTGTCCTTCTACTCGAAACGAACATTAAATTGTGCGTATAAGATAGACGTTATTTACCAGATCAATGATTAAATCGCGCATTAGCTTAGATAGTCTACACGTAAGAACCCCGATATTGGCGCGCTACCTTCCATATATCGAACCTTCACTCGATCGACCATTTATTTTGCCTCCTACGAACGTCGCTACATCGAACGCTCGTAAACACGAGCGTAACACTTCACCCAACGAATATAAATCTCTCGCCGGCAAGTTTTTTACTCATACGATATACACGGCAATCTTGTTTTCAGAATTTGTTTCGCTGTATGCTCCGGCTACATATGCAACAATCAGCGATTTACGACAATGACGGCCTATCCAATCGCGATACGAAACATCAGGAGGTATCAGGCATAACATATCCTGGCAATAAAAATTATCTAATAAACACTATCTAATCAACTCGGTGACGTAAAGTAAGAAAAGGTCAATAAGCTTGACACTTAATAGCTCTACTTAACAAACGAGCTCCGATAAATGTGATACATTGAACATAGTAGGAGAAAAACGAAAACTTTGAATTTAGCTAGTTTAGTTAGTTTCTGATAATATTGCCATTAATCCTTTGATTCGATCAATCTCTTTATCTCTGTTGCTCGCTGTTATTCGATATTCAGTGTATTTCAAACATCGTCATGTAATGTATTTCTTTCTCGTCAACGAGTCTTACGCGATATGCGACGTCGAATCGCGCGCATCGTGTGATAAGCAAGGACGAATATTCGTCGTCGTCAAGATTTCTAGAGATTGATAGCACGCATCCAAAGCAGCGTAAATATTGTCACGGTGTTAACGATATGTTCGTAATTGCGTGTCGCATGTACACAATTACTCGAGAGATGAGAGCTTGCGACGCGCAAATACCGTAGTTTATTTCGAGTTTACTCAGAGGGACGTTCGATGGAACTGCTCGGAAAATCGAGGTCGCCTCGAACGTCACGCAGAAGAAGAAAGAACGATGACGGATTTTCTTCGGAAAATGGCCAGGTTGAATCGCCTGAATAGAACTTTCCTCTTACCAACTGAATTATTACGCGTTGTTTTTCGTTCTTTCTTCGTTTACTTCGGGAACTTTGGTACATTCACCGAGAGAAAAAGAGCAACTGAATCGAGCAGCTTAAAAATTTTTCACTCGAATATTTCAATAAACACCTTTCCGACCGATAATTTCAGAAACAAAAGTCGAAGATGACGCTGCTCCGCTGCTGCCTCGTAGTATCCTCCTCCTCCTCCTCCTTTTCTCCTTTATTTCGAGAAGTATACAAACCCCATCATCGGTTACGACCTCCACCGCGTCTTACTCTCGAGAGGATCGTCCTTTTTCAAATAAACCGACCGACCCTCGCGTGGTTTTCGGCTTAGACCCTCGCGTCTTTCGTGACGCGAGAGAATGTACTCGTGTCCGGCAACGACCCAACGGGCACGAGGGAGGAAGAGATGCAGCCGGTCGAGACTTCGTTTGTTTATCATTTGTCAGCGAGCTGCTTATAGCAAAGTGGGTTAGAATCGCGGACAGCAGACATTCTCGCGTCGTTCTTTTCCCGCCATGAAGTCGAGTGCTGACGTTCGCGCTGTCTTTTGTCGTGTGCCACGAAGTTGATCGATCGTCCGGCAATAGAGAAAGTCTATGCTCGTTAAGGGACGATTGATGCGTTTAAGTCGAAAATCGAACGCGCGCGCGGGTTTTTATTAAATTCTCAGTAGAAGATTGCGGTCGCGCGATGGAAGCTTTGTCGTGGCGAGCGAGCGAGCGAGCGGGTCGTCGATCAATCTTCATCGATTGTGCCGCCGCGTTATATGCAAAAGTAATTCAAATGTTGCCCACGACTTTAATATTTGCATAACCGACGTTGTTTACGATTCACTATCGAAGCGTCCGCTAAGATGATAGATCGCAATTTTCGCCCGGCGCCTGTTAAAACGCGCCGCTAAGGTTTTACCGTCTTAAACTCGCGCCGGAGAACCCGTCATTCAGTGCTTTTCTGACGGCTTAGCAAGCACCGAAAGTGGATCTCGTTTTACCGAAGTGTTCGACGTTTCTTCATAACAACGGCTATTCGTCGCCGTTTTAATAAAACATCCGAGCGTTAGCAATATTTTGCTAGTGACTTGTAAAATTTATATTCGTCTGGTATTGCCGATACACATTTTCCTTGTGTTTCGCTATTTTGAAAAAAGCAACTAGAGAAACGACAGTTGAAATAAAAGTTTCACGTACAACTGTTAAATTCTCTGTACTCTGTACGTTCATTGTCCGACTATGTTTCTGTTGCTTTTTAATTGTCTCGTTTAATCTTCTGTTGCAGCGTGTTGCAGCGACAAGGATTAATAAACGTTCGTCGCCAGATCGTCGATCCTCGCAGACGGTGGGATTGTGAGCTGAAACGAGAGAATAGGTGAGTCGAAAGTGCAAAATAGTCGAGAGTAAATGAATAGAGAGAGAGAGAGAGAGAGAGAGAGAGAGAGAGAGAGAGAGAGAGAGAGAGAGAGAGAGAGAGAAAGGGGAGGTGGGGAGTGAAAGAGAGAAAGAGGCGGAATAAAAGCGAGAATGACCGAGACTCTAGGTTAAATGACGCCTCGAAGCGCTTGTATCTTCTGTCTACGAGCGAGCCGGTTATTAAACACTTAAATCTTCCTCGGTGCATAAAGAAAAAAAATGACGCGGAGAGCTCGCTGTAGGAGCGGCAGAAGGGGGGAAGGGTGGGAGATGCGAGAAATAAATTTATGAGGGACAAGCGATGCGCTGTTCTTCCTTCTCTTCAAGAGCGGTTCGCTACTAAATTAAATATTTATTCCACGATCATTCGCCGAAGGGTCGCGACGGTAGACTCGTCTCGACAAATAAACGGATATATTTCGTTTCGTCGGGTTACCGATTATCGATCGGTCCTCGCTGAGCTTGAAACCGTATTCAGTTGTCCCCGTATTTTAATAGACTGTCAATCATTCGCTATGAAAATAAGTTAACGATACGAGCAGCAAGATACGAAAGATCCTGATGAAGAAACTAGGAAGCTGGAAAGAGGTTTTTCTAACCGAGAGAAAAGAACGTAGCTTATGAATCGGGTTTTTTAGCCTCCGTAAATATTCAGAGATACTCGCGGAAGTAAAATTGCGAGTCAGAAATCCGATTTGGATAATAAGAGAAACCATAGTGTAAGGGATTGTGGAATTCAGAAATCTCATTCATAGATTCGTAGACTTTCTCCTATTCCAGCCTGAGTCAGATAACTGCCTCGCAGACTGCCAATCTTCTTTCTCCGAGATTTCTGCATTTCGCTCAAGTCGTATCATTTTTCAATTGACGCGCATTAAGAACAAAATTAAGATTCAATACGGAGAGTGCTTATTTATACTTTCCGCAGCGCGAAATTGTATTAACATGTAATTAGCATCAAAATTCCGCCGCGAGGAAAAAAGTAAAAGCGTCGCTTAAAATTACGGAGAAAGAAGTAAGGATATACGAAAAGACAGCATAGTCGAAATAAATGTTGGCGATGTATCATTTGGGATATCAGTCTTCGGGGAGGCAACTGGAAGGAAAGTGGATGAAATAGTAGCTTCCGCAGGGAGGGTAGGAGGGAGGGAGGGCACAGCTGGCCGCGGTTTCATCCCGCGGAAAATTCGGATTTTGCCGGAAACGTAGCGAAATGCGCTCTTATATTTCCGCGCATTGCTACGACGCCTCATTTGACGCGCGCATCTCTCGCGTTGCGGCAAACCGCCGCGTTGCATACCTCCTGAAGAACGTAAGGAACGCGGTTATATTTTTCCGTCTGTCTCGGTCTGCGAGCGACTCGCATTAACAGCGGGTAATTGTCCCACGACAAGCACAGACCGCGGCTGCATCCGTCGCGACGATTGTTCCGTCGATCAATCGCATCCCGTTTGAACCGCTTATACGATTAAGCTGCCAACAGGTGCGCGCACTCTAGTCAAGTCACGCTATCGCGCCGACTGTAATTCGGTCGATCATTGATAGAACCAAGGGACTATGATCGAAGAGACAAGAACGTGAAATCGGGGCTGACTGCCGGGGAGGGAAAAGGCCGCGAGGACGAGCGAGGAAACGTATGATGAACCCCGACCCTCTCCATCCGCATTTCTCGCTCATCTCTCGCTTTCTCTATTTCCAGCTCTGCCTCCTTTTTCCTCGTTCGCTCGTTCTGTACTATATTTGGTGTTTGCGGTGCGTGTACGTGCGTCCGCGAGTCTGTGTTGGAGCAGGTTCGCCGGCGCCTGAAAGGCAGGCAGCCAGGCGGGCGCCGTCTCTCGAAAGGGTTTCGCGTTCTACCGACGAGGACGGCGCCCGTCGTCGCCGTTCATCCGAGGGTAGAAGCAGGACGGATAACGAGCGGGGGTGGATAAAACGGGACATCGAGGACGAGGGAGAGCGAGGGAGGCGGAGGGATCTCTCTCTCTCTCTCTCTCTCTCTCTCTCTCAGTGCAGCATCGGAAAGGAGGTTGCGCCGATGCACGACGCCTCGAAGAGACCGTATCGCGAGAGGCAACAGCCTGGAAGACGACAGCCTGTCCTCCTCGTCCTCGCCCTCATCCTCGGCCTCGGCCTGGCGAAATAGAAGGCCGCTCGAATGCCTGAGAAGAAAGGACGAACCGGCGTCCCGGTGTTTTTTGATGCCGTGCGCGGACCGCGTCGGGATATGAAAAGCGCCCGGAGGCTCCGCATGAAAGTACGCGAAACTCGTTAACGCAGCGGAGGTAAATACGCGAGGAGGGAGAAAGAGGAGGATAGAACGGGAGAGGGAACGAGTTGGAAATAAAGAGGTAGATGGCCGTTTCAAAGGGGGTTCCTTTGATGCCGGCATGTTCGCCGCGAAATAAACGTGATTACTGTTCAATCGTTGAGCAAAGATTCGCGCTGCTATCGATATTGTTGTATAATTTCGACTATCGACGAGAGCTACGGTTATTGATTAGCAATTAGCTGAATATGCGGTGGTTTTATCCCGGCTCGCCGAATATTTGCATTGTATATAGGGCAACAATTTTCCCCGCATTAACTCTCATAAAAATGTTTCGCATTACCGGAGACTCGATAGCTTCGAGAGGTTTGAGAACAAAATATATGAATTTAACTCGAAATGGATGAGATGAAAAATATTTCATATTTACCTCTGACTAATTAGGTAACCAATATGTACTGGAAAAATAAATAAATAAACAAGGACTCATATCCCTTCGTGCTGTTGTTACACGATCGCTTTGTGTCCATTGCGAAAACACGAGGACTTATGTACACGTACACGCTGTTACTAACGACGTCGTTTTCTGCCGGAATAACGCTATAAGCTAGGAAACAAATGGCAGCTCCGCGGTTATGATAACGTTCCATCAGTGCGTTGCTGAGAGGTCGACAAATCGTTTCGTCGATCGGACTTCGCGGTACGATTTGTCAGAAGCGGAACGCCTATGACCGTAGTGCACTCGTGTGATACCTCGGAGACGTATCAATCAATTCATTGTCGGTATCGAGGTCCGCGAGCGGTGTCAATTGCGCGAGATATGCACTCGCTTCTATACTTTCAAACCGATTGCTCATCCCACGGATTAGCAATCGTACGTATCGGGTTGTCGCCGTAACGACCGGTCGTCGTTAAAATTCCGGAGAAGTTCGTACCGATCCCGTTAGATGAGCGAAAACCGGACACGCGAATCTCTTCCGCGAGAGTCCCGCGAGAGGCGAAAGGAAATCGAGACCGACTTTCCCGAGGAAAGACCGAGGCGCGACAGGCACGCGGTAACGGAGTTACATTTATTTGGTCCCCCGAGCAGGAAGGTGATATTTTTCCAAGGGGGAAACTTTCAAACGCCGACGGTGACTGCCTCTTGCCGTAAAAGGGCGGCATTGTGTCCACGCCTCGCCTCTCGGCTCCTCTCTCGCCCACCTCATTTCTCCTCTCCTTTTCTCTCTTTCCTTCCTTCCTTCTTTCTTTCCCTTTCTCTTTCTCTTTCTTTCTCTCCTTCCCTCCCTCCCTCTTGCTCTGTCTCCCTCTCTGTCTCTCTGTCTCTCTCTCTCTCTCTCTCTCTCTCTCCCCCTCACCCCCTCTTTCTCTCTCGTTCCTCTCGAGAGCATAAACACTTCGCGACGGCCGGAAGGTAGAAGTTTGGTCTGGTCGGAGTTGTGGGAGGTGAAGAGGAGGCCAGAGAGAAGGACGGGCGGATTTATTTCTCGTCCGCTTCGTGCTCGCCGATAAGGCGAAGGAGACGTATGAGAGCCCGTAAACCTTGGACGCCGCTCGTAACTTACTGATTGACGAACCGCCGATCTCGAGTCGGGTTACGCGAAGCCCGGTTACCTAGAACCAAGAGGCGAACTCGCAAATACGCCGTAGAATTTCCTGCCGGATGCGAAAGACGTTTCACTTATTTAGCGCGGTGCCCTCCCAGGTCGTGACACGACTGCGACAAACCGCGCGCTCCTGCGGATGTCCGCGGGTTAAAACCACCGCGTCTTAAGCGAGGCTCTACATAACGCAGAAACGGAAAAAATACGCTGTCAGGTCGGCGGTTTATGGTAATTCAGGGATGAAAAGAGAATGTTCGGAAGAGTCCGACGGGATAAGGCGCGCTGTGCCGCTTAATAGGAACCACCGCGAATAATTTAGATTGCAAGGGATTCACTGCTGTGGCCTGCTAAAAACGTGTTCGCCCGTTTCTTTCATTTTAAATAACCGCAAAGATCGCGTGACTTCTACATTGAATTTTGCACCTTTAAGAGAGCGAGAGAGAGAGAGAGAGAGAGAGAGAGAGAGAGAGAGAGAGAGAGAGAGAGAGAGAAGAGGACTAAATAAGCGAGATGCATAATGATTTGCAGCAGCAGAGTTTTCTCTTCTAGAATTTTGAGACAATTGAGACGAGCATATCGTAGCTCACGTTGATTGATAAAACAAAGGAAGGACACACATACACACACATGTTCTTAATGCATGCGCATCAATTACGAAATTTGTGCATGTGTAGCGCTACACGTGACTGTGTAACCACGTATATTTCGCGATTACTCACACGAGTCGACTTTCTTCGATAAGATTTTTATTAGATTGCGTTTTTCTTATTATGACGTGTATCAAATGCCGGTTCAGGATTCTTCGTTTTTTCGTGGAATGAATTTTTGATTATGCGTAACAAGATAACGTATTTATAAAAGTGTCACTGGATATTCGCCGCTGTTGATAATGAAATGTAATGTTCGTCGTGTGTATATGTTACTCGACGCAACTGGCTGTTTAATTTAATATGCTCGCGATACCCCGTGCGACCTGAATTAGTAAATATTATCGTTGCCAAGTGACGTGCATTCGCTCAGGACACCGCGAAAGGTCCGATGCTGATGTATGGTTCTGAGAAGCGTGCCGAGTGCAACTGATAATTAACG